AATCTCAATTGAGGAAGTTCAGGATTAGGGGGGAAATGGTGACTTTACAAGGGGACATGACTCTTTCCACTTCTATGGTTTCCCTTAAGGCAATGTTTCGGACCATTAAACATGAGGGACAAGAAATATATTTAGAGTTACAGGCGTTGGACGTAGAAAGGGAACCCGACCAGCCATTTCCTGCCCAGATCAGTGCATTGTTGCAGCGTCATCCAAGGATTTTGAATATGCCGGATGGTCTTCCTCCTCAACGTAGGCATGACCACGGCATTGAGCTTCATCCGGGCACGGTTCCTATTAGTGTTAGACCCTACAAGTATCCTCATTTCCAGAAAAATGAGATTGAAAAGTTAGTCCGAGAGATGCTCGCGGCCGGAATCATACAACCAAGCAACAACCCGTTTTCTAGTCCGGTGCTTCTAGTTAAAAAAAAAGATGGTAGTTGGCGCTTTTGCGTTGATTATCACGCTCTCAACAAAGCTACAGTTCCGGATAAGTTTCCTATACCGGTGATTGAAGAGTTATTGGATGAATTGTTTGGTGCCACTATCTTTACCAAACTAGACTTGAAATCGGGCTATCATCAAATTCGGATGCGGGTGGAAGACATTCCTAAGACGGCCTTCTGCACCCATGAGAGCCATTATGAATTTTTAGTTATGCCCTTTGGGCTAACTAATGCTCCAGCCACCTACCAATCTTTGATGAATGAGGTACTAAAACCTTATTTGCGAAAGTTTGTTTTAGTTTTTTTTTATGATATTTTGATCTATAGTAAGACCTTGGAGGAACATGTGGGTCATCTGGAAGTGGTTTTGAAGGCCTTGGAGGATAACCAATTATATGTCAACCAAAAAAGGTGCACTTTTGGCCAAAGTCGATTGGAGTATTTGGGCCATATTGTGTCATGTGATGGTGTTTCGGCCGACACCAACAAAATTTAAGCCATGTTGGATTGGCCCACACCCAGCTCCATTAAGGAGTTGCGTGGATTTTTGGGTTTGACCGGTTATTACCGGCGTTTTGTCACGGGGTACGGCCATCTTTCTTGGCCATTGACACAGCAATTGAAGAAGGATAGTTTTAATTGGTCCGAAGAGGCTGAAGCTGCTTTCCACGATTTGAAACAGGCCATGACCACAGTTCCGGTCCTAGCATTACCGGATTTTTCACAACCATTTGTGGTAGAATCCGATGCTTCAGGCTTTGGGATCGGCGCGGTTTTAATGCAACACCAACAGCCTATAGCCTACTTTAGTCAAGTTTTGTCCTCTCACGCTAGGGCCAAATCGGTTTATGAGCGCGAGTTGATGGCTGTGGTATTGGCTATCCAGAAATGGAGACATTATCTTCTTGGGCGACATTTCATTGTCCGCACGGATCAGAGGAGTTTAAAATTCTTGTTGGAACAACGTTTAGTTGGGGAAGAGCACCGGAAATTGCTGTGTAAATTGTTGGGTTATGATTTTGAAATCCAATACAAGCCCGGAACGGAGAACCGCGTCACGGATGCGTTGTCTAGGAGGTCTTCGGGGTTGGAATTGATGCTCCTTTCCACTTCAGCGTTATATGATGGGGCTGATATTCGGGAGCAACTTCTAGGTGATCCGAAGTTGGCAGGAATTCGGAAAGCATTGCTGGAAAATTCGAAGGGAGTGAAGGGTTTTTCTTTATGCAATGACATGTTATTGTGCAAGGGTCGGGTGGTTTTGACTAGGCTATCTCCTCTTATACTGATCCTTCTGAATGAATTCCATGGTGGCAAGGTCGGTGGACACTCGGGCGTCTTAAAGACATTCAAACGATTATCATCCGAGTTCTTTTGGTATGGCATGAAAAAGGATGTCGTCTCGTTTGTGGCAGCCTGTCAAGTATGTCAACAAAACAAGGCTTCTACCTTGGCGCCTGGGGGACTATTACAACCATTACCATTGCCAAACTTGGTTTGGGATGAGATTTCGATGGATTTTGTGGAAGGTTTGCCTAAGTCGGGGGGAAATGATTCGATCTTGGTGGTTGTTGACCGGTTGAGTAAGTATGCACATTTTTTGGGTCTTCGCCATCCTTTTTCTGCAAAATCGGTGGCTGTCCTGTTTATTAAAGAGGTGGTGCGACTTCATGGATTTCCACGGACTATTGTGTCCGATCGCGACAAGGTCTTCCTAAGCCAATTTTGGAAGGAGCTCTTTCGGTTGCAAGGTTGCAGGGCACTGCTTTACATCATAGTACCGCTTACCATCCACAAACGGATGGGCAAACAGAAGTGGTTAATCGGTGCTTAGAAGCCTATTTGCGCTGCTTTGTGTCTGGGAAACCTACTCAGTGGTTTTCTCATCTAGCGTGGGCTGAATTTTGGTATAACACAAGCTTCCATGTGTCTGCGGGAATGACTCCTTTCAGGGCATTGTATGGCCGTAACCCTCCAAAATTGTTGCGTTTTGAGTTTGGTTCCACCGCGAACTCTTTGTTGGAGGAGCAGTTACAAACTCGGGATGCTATCTTAGAGGAGCTACAGGGCCACTTGCTTCAGGCGCAACATTCAATGAAGAGGAACGCGGATCTCAAGCGTCGTGATGTCTCATTCGATGTGGAGGATTTGGTGTTCCTGAAACTTCGCCCATATCGCCATCGTTCCTTGGCTAAGTTTCTGAATGAGAATCTTTCTCCCCGGTTTTATGGTCCCTATAAGGTCGTGGCACGAGTGGGGGCAGTGGCGTATAGGTTGCAATTGCCTACGGAGGCTAAGATTCATCCGGTGTTCCATGTGTCGTAGCTTAAGCTCGCCATTGGCCAGCCTATTCTGGCTCAGGAAGTTCCGCCAGCTTTGACTGCTGACATGGAGTTACGTGTGGAGCCGGAGAGGTTGCTAGCTACTCGTTTCTCTAAGGTTACGGGACAGCTGGAAGTTTTGCTTCAATGGCGTCATTTACCGGACTATGAGTTGTCTTGGGAGCTTTTCGACGTCATTCAGCAACAATTTCCTAAATTTCTCACCTTAAGGACAAGGTGACTCTTTTTGGGGGGCGGAATAATTGATAAGCCTCTACTTAGACAAGTCTATGTGAGAAAGGGTCGTATAAGGGATTAGAGGATTGTTAGTGTATAGGTTCATGAGTGTATAGGCTTATGTGGCTGTTGTGTGGGTGAGTATGTGCTTACGTGTGTATTAGTATGTACTTACGTGTTTACTGTGAGTGTGTACACAGGGGATTGTGATTAGTGTTGTTTAGGGGCAAGAATAAATAGAGGGACTCGGGGAAAGGAGAAGGCAGGCAATCATTGAGACAATTTGGGAAAGTCTTGGCATTTCCGCTGAGCAGGGAGTAGGTTTCTGGTTCAAAGAACCAATTCTGCAATTCTTGTGGTTAATTCAATAAATATTCATTCTTTCTTCTTCTTGATTCAATTCTTGTGAAATAGTTGCTAGAGACTTACCAGTATACAAGAGGAGTCAGAGTCTCGAAAGTTAAAACTGCACTACGAAAAATGAAAAAGGGGAAGACATGTGAGCTAGATGATATTCCAATAGAGGTTTAGATGAGGTTTGGATGGCGTTAGGAGATGCTGAAATTGTGTGGCTCACTAAGCTTTTTAATGAGATACTAAAGAAGAAACATATGCCTGATGCATGAAAAAAAAAGTATTCTTGTCCTCATTTTCAAGAATAAATGAGATGTGTTAAATTGTAACAATTATAAGAGCATAAAGTTAATAAGCCACACTATGAAACTTTAGGAGAGAGTTATCCAAATGAGATTAAGGGCCACAACTACCATCTCAGGTAACCAATTTGGCTTCATGCCAAGCAGATCAACTACGGAAGTCATTTTTCTTCTTAGAATGCTGATGGAAGGTACAGAGAAGCCAAGACAAACCTACATATGATTTTTATAGATTTAAAAAATGCATATGATAGGGTACCGAGAGAAGTTTTATGGTGGGTGCGAGAAAAGAGAAGAGTGCATGTGAGGTATATTAAGGTAATTAAGGACATGTATGATGGGGTGGTCACAAGTGTGAGAACTGCGGGAGGCTACACGGCAGAGTTTCCCATTCGGATCGGCCTTCATCAAGGATCTGCTCTTAGTCCTTATCTTTTCACCATCGTGATGAATGAGCTGACAAGAGAAATACAAGATAGAGTTCCTTGGTGTATGCTTTTTACGGACGATATAGTTTTAGTTTATGAACATATGAAAGGAGTTAACCGTAAGTTAAAACTGTGGAAACAAACTCTCGAGACGAATGGATTTAAGTTAAGTATGACGAAAACTGAATACATGCATTGTAGGTTTAATAACTCACGTAATCAGAGTGATAAAATTATTTAGATGGTGTGAAGATTGAGACTTCTAAGAAGTTTAGGTACCTTAAGTCTATAGTGCAATATGAATGAGATATAGAAGAGGATATTCAACATAGGATTAAGGCAGGGTGGGTAAAGTGGAAGAATGCTACGAAAGTTTTATGTAATAGCAAGATGCCTATTAAGTTAAAAGGACAATTCTATAGGACTGTAATTCACCCAACTATGTTATATGGTAGTGAATGTTGGGCTATTAAGAGACAACATATATCTAAAATGAGTGATAGAAATGCATATGTTAATATGGATGAGTGACCATATGAGAATGAATCACATAAGAAATTAAGTTATTCGTAGTAAAGTAGGTTTAGCACCAATAAAAGATAAGGTGCGCGAATGCCGCTTAGGGTGGTACGGGCATGTCCAACGTAGACTACTAGAAGCACCAGTTCGTGCTTGGGATGACATTCTTATACCTAATACTATGAGAGGAAAGGATAAACCTAGAATTACGTTGACTGAAGTCGTTAGGAAATACATTCTAGATCTAAGCCTTCAGGAGAGTTTAATTTCGAACATAGTAGTGTGGAAAAGTGAAATTCATATAGCCGACCCCAATTAATTGGGATTAAGGCTTGTTGTTGTTGTTGTAATGTACCCTAGATAGATAATCAATGAAACTGTTGACACTTACCCATCAGCTCTACTGCATTGCCCTGGGCGGGAAGAAATGCAAGCCAACAATCTACCACTGCCAAACTGCTCTTCAAGATGGGGGTCGAGCTTACGACCTTGTTGACGCTTCTCAAGCTTCCTCAGAACATGGTTACTCTTCTTCGTTTCTTCGGTAGTTGCTTCTCCCTCCTGCTAATCAATCATGTTTAATAATAATTAGACAAAAACAAGGTAATAAATCATTCATTCAGATTTCAGAGGACACCTCAACCCATTGATCTCGCTAATATATTAATATAATACAAGGATTGTTTCCTCTTGTCCATATGTCTTCTAATAAGCAAGGTAAAGTGGCATTGAGAAAGAAAGGGAAACAACAATTTTATAATTAAATGATTCGAATGATAAAAAGATAGTGACACCCACCAAGCCACACCCCCACAGATATAAAATATTTTATGAAATGTGAAAACCTATATATAGATCATGTCTTGCCTAATAAACCAGAAAGTTGCAACTCATAAGAAAAGATACTTGGGACTTAGCAGGAACAACAAATAAAACTATAATCGAGACATGATAAAGTAACCTAGAAAGACCTAAAAAATACTAGTTTTTAGCTTTTTCTCTGATCTCTCACAACAGAAAGGAAGGAAAAATTTCCTGGAAGACTGACAAATCAACTAAAAGGAAGCACTGCAAAGAATCATTTAAGCTACCTCTGGGGTATCCTTCTTGGCAGCAGACTTCTTCTTCCTACCAATGTCAACCCCGTAATGCTGAAGGTACCATTGCTTGAATGGGGCTGCGTCAACCTGGACAATAGCGCTTTTCACAAGAGTCTGCGTTCTCACAAGCTCATTGTTTGAGGCATTGTACACGACATCCAAGATACGTGTTTTGCGAGTAACAGCTTCACTGCCCCATGAATAGTTACCAGTATCCAATCTTAGAGCTCTCCACTTGACGTTTCCTCCTCTGACACGGACACGCCTCACGGTCTTGTTGCTTGAGAGCTTGGTGTTGGCAGGCTGACGACCAAGCTCGTACCTGTATAAGCCCCAAAAAAATGCAAAAGAAATATAAAGAACGTGCTAAAAGAGAAAAAATGGACGGATCATACTCATAGAGATGTAAAAACTTCATCCCTCCAATATAAAATCCAACACATCCAGGAACACAAACAACTTTTCCTAATATTTTATTGCCAAAACTTCATTAAACTCAACATAGCTAAGTGGGAAAATTCGATTTCACCCTATGGTTGACAACAATTTAATTCAATACATAAACAAATATTTCTTTTGTTTCCTCAAAGGTTGAATGAGTCCCTTATCCAAAACATTCCCTCAAACTCAAACGCGTTTTGCCAGATTAAGTAAACAGGATAAATCAATGCGAAAGCCAGTAACTACGACAATGAACTCGGACAAATGTGACTGAATAAATATCTCTTCAAAATTAATCACCCGCATACTCGTAACAAACACACAAAAAAATTCAGAAACCTAAAAAAGAAAATACAAGATTCCACCGATTGGCAAATTACAAATCTGTTGCTAACATTCAACGATTCACTACTTCATCTTCATTTTATAATCTCCTTAATAGATAGAGTAAAAAAAAAGCGTATTAAAATAGGCAAAAAAGAAAAAAGATTTCGAGATTATCAGAAATGAATTACTTTCTCTTCTTCCTCCAAGCCTTCTTTTTGCCTCCGGTGGCGCGGCGCTTGTGCATGGAGTCACGGGAGATACCTGAACCCCAACACAATAATAAGTCACCATATCGTCAGCCATTGTACGGACACAAAGCACGAGAGAGAAAAGGAAGAAACGAAGGAATTTACCCATGGTTGCAGAGGATACTGGGTCTGGTTGAGCTGCTTCTGCTGCTTCTCGAGGCGTGCGTTCGGCTAAAATCCGATAGTCTGATTAATTGATGAAACCCTACCTGCATATGAATCTCTGGGCGGTATAAGTGGGCCTAAAATACTGGGCATCCTAATCGGGCCCAATAATTTCAATTGCTGCGAATTATAGCCGCCTTAATTAAGGAATCTCACCCGGTGGAATACGGGCTCCTAACACGAATGCCAAGCGAGAGTAATTTTCTGATGAAATAAATAAGGAAAATTATAGTAAATAACAAATTTTTAACACTAAATTAAGTAAACATTAGATTTTAAAACTATTTATGACAGGTAAAAAATAATTTACGCGGATAAATTTATCTAATTAATTTAATTATTTAATTAATAAGCGAACGATTAGGTCAATAACTTGAGTTCTTCGACCACAAACAATCCTCGCTCTGAGCTTGTTTGTAATATCCGAATCTTTTTCATTAATTTCTTGAATCTACGAAGACGTGTGTGTGGGCACACCTGAAACAAAATAAGATTAGCACTCAAAACACTCAAGTCTTCCACGAGCACCAACACATGCATGACGTGGAGCTAAGATGAAGAACTTTGCTTC